ATAAATTCTAGTACTTCATTTGGAGAGGATTTTAGTTAGAGATATTTCGTGATTACATTAGTTCATCAAGAAGTTTTATTCTATCTTTTGGACTATCTGTATCAGTTTTATCGGTCAGTTTTAATTCTAGATCCATTAAATTTTTAATGTCTGATTTACTCATTTCTGCTAGTTTGCCGAAGTAATATAAATAGTAAACGCATCACTTTACTTTTAAGCAATTGAAACCTTTCTCCTATAGATGAGACTGTAATGTCAATAAAAGTATTTAAAAAATGTATGCGGAAATTATCTTTTAGATAATTTGTAGTCTTAACGTCATGTTCATAAACGAACATGGTTTTCTTTTCTCCGTTTAAACAATATCACCGTATAAACTATTCTGTTTATTTCTTGTGACCGGTGAAATGTGGAACTTTTGATATGTTGTTATACTTCTACATATTTTACAAATTCACATGGATAAAAGTACATTGCTCTTTAATATTCGTTACAAACTTTATTTTGTTCCATTCAGTTTTAAATGAGTATTCTAAGTGTATGCCGCCCTGGCTCAATGCACCTCTCGAACCAGTCACAAAGGCGCTGATTAGGATGAAGTTAAAATTATTTGGCATGAAAAGAACTGAAACTTAAGCATTGGCTTACTGAGCATTATTGTGAATCATCGCGTTCTCGCTTATCCCATGACCCAAGTACAGAGGTCATATGCGCCCGATATATTTTGTACGAAGCGATAGATCGTGCTACTTCCACTCATCCCACTGGTTGTGTCCTAGATTTTATGAGGGAGATACGGAAAACGCCTCCAAGCAAGGCTGGTGGTCAGAGTTGGAACTCGGAAGAACTGCAGATAGATAGCGTTCATGTCTAAACTGTGAACGGTGAAAGATCACGGGTCTCACGAGAGAATCACGAGCGTTCACGAGGTATCAAGTGGGTAAGGATTTGCACTATTTGTGTCTCGGTCGTCTCGGCCAGCCAGGCCGTAACAAGGAAAGAGGTCTGAAATGTTCGAAGAGAGAGACTGGTGTAGGCGCTTGTTTGTGTTGCGGGTCACATGAAGTCATTTAATCTCCAAAGAAACATTGCTCTTGAAACTATTATTTGGATGGTTTTGGATCCACCTAGTGAAGTTTGTACCCCAATCACGGAGTTCTGGAGAGGAGTGAAATTTGTGCATTCTTGATATTAAAATAAATTTGTGTTTGTGACATGAACTGTAAGCGCTTCTGCAATCAGCTTTGACATATTACGATGGCAGACGGAAGAAACGAAGAGACACAGAGTATTAGGGAGTCGACGAAAGCCCTGAAGAAGTATGGAAGCACTTGCAATCACTTCAAACGTCAAGAGCACTATGTGAAACATGTTATTAGTGAAGGAGATACTTTACAAGGGATTGCCTTGAAATATGGAGTTCATGTATGTATCAAACATTTAACTTGTTAAAAAAAATAATATTAATGTGAATGATTGATAATGGGGAACATGTGACCTATTTTCCCTATAAATATATCTATGAGTTACTTTTAAACTTTTCTTACTTAGATCCATTGAATTGTTGTTCTTTCTTTACTGTTGAATGCTAGGACTTAGTCATAGAAGGCAAGCATTTTATAGTCCTCCACTTGTGGGAATTCTGAAGCAAGAGTTTGTATGTCATGCGAAAGAGAACTTTCCAAATTGGCTTGGACACTTACTATTCTTCTTGATTGCATTAAAGCCACTTTTCTGTAATTTCATTTGATGTTAAAAATGTTTGTGCTCTTGAATTTGTCATTTAATTTAATATTTTTTATGGTTTTTGGACTATTATATTCCTAAGTTGGGAAAGAAAGTAACTTTTTATAATTCAAGTCAACCGCTTTGTAATTCTGTTGGTCAAATTAGAAAAATATATTAATTGGAATTATATTCTTTGTTTATTAAAAGAAAAAGTAATGTTTCATAACCGCATTGTTACATCTTCTGATGCATTTTAAACATTTCTACTAAATATTTAATCTATTGAACGTGGTGCATACAATTTAAAGCTTATAAAAGAAAGACAAATTTCTACAGATCATTTTAAATTTATAGACTATTTGGGAACATGTCATCAGGTCAAGTACATCTGTTGAGGAACACTTGACATCTATTATGTTGGAAGGAACCTGAGAGATATTAATCAATAAAATTGATAGTATCATTGATTCTCATATAGTGGAGTTCATAAACTAATTTTGGCAATTCTGGGCAATTCTTTTTCAGATGGAACAAATTAGAAGAGTTAATCGTCTGTGGGCCACTGATAGTTTATTTCTAAGGGAGAATCTTCTCATACCTGTATCTTTGGAATATGCAATGAGTCCAACAAATCCCTATCAACTATGTGATGTAACAAATTTACAATCTCCAAGCACACCTAACAGCTCTGAAAGTGAAGAAAGAAGTATTACTGATTTTCTTGTCAAAATTGACACTTCAATTGCTAATACAAAAAGTCAAGTGAAAAAAACCCAGGGAAACAGTGAGTAAGTTTCATTTATTTTTCTAATTCTTGTATTCAATAATGTGTATAATCTTGTTTTCAAAAACATTTATTCTACCAAATGATAAAGTTATGTTAACGTACAATCCTTTTTGTAGATTTGCTGCTGATGAGGATGATTTTTTTCGAAGTCGACCATCCAGGTCAAGGCTACGTCAACAATTGGCAACACAGAGCTCAAATGATGTATTGAGTGCCCCTCATCCCGTAGTTATGACTCAAGGACGCAAAGTGCGCTCATCGTTGCAGAGATTAGAAAAAGAACAAGATGAGATGTTTGAATTGTAGCATTTGTTTGTAACAATTTGTTGAAATTGCCTTATGAAAATGTGGGGTTAAAAGTAAAAGATATTTCTATGTGTTACATGAATTCATTTCTATCCATCTCATTTAAGAAAAGCCATTACTATTTGTTTCCAATAATCTCACTTAAATGTATCTTATTCTGGATATTTTTTTAAACTTATTTATTTAAAGTGTTGGAAGCATGTTCACTTGGTTGACCATATCAGAATGCTTTTGAAATTTGACATTGTGTTTGAAAGGTACATAGAAACATGATTTCCAGTTTTTTTGAAGATACCATTTGAAGATTTTTTTGAAAAAAAGTTACAAAAAATTAGTTATATGGGAAAGTAATGGTTAATCATTTCGGGTTGTAACAAATTATTTTAATAAGGAGGCTCTCTACATCTGTTGATGGATAGTGAAAGAATTGCAAATAATAGATATGTTATGAGGTACAAAAGGCAGAACTGAAAAGTTTTTAATCTTGCATCTTGGCAAACTTGGTTTAAATGGGCCTTTCAGTAATGATTTTCAAGAGTATCGTACTGTAAATCGTGCAGTATATTTAGTGTACTGGTATGGGCATTAATTATATGTGTAGTCCTTCCAACATTTGCTTTCGTGTGAACACTAATTTTCTTTCAATATTTTTGTAGAGGGTGAAAAACAAGTGAACTGTCATAATGTGATGTCATGCTAGGTTAGTTTTAAAGCAAGTGGCTGGAGTAGTGTATGGTAGTTTGAAGTTATGTATGCAAAGAGCTACCTTTCCTATTTTTCTTTTCCTTAAGTGGGTCAGTTTTCTTATTGATACTGTTCATAGTATTTGCATTATGAATTGTCACATAAGACTTATGTATAAGAGGTGGATTAAAAGCGTTATCAAGTATCATATCATCACTTGACTTTGTGAAATTTCTATCCAGAATGACAATATTCAGAGCAAGTCTGACTAGGAGATGCCTTCCACTTAGTAAACCTGGTTTTATTCATATCCTTACACTGTCTGATTGGATGTATCAAAATGTATTTAAATGTTAGTGTAAATTACATCGGCATATAATGAGTGTATTACATGTGTAAAATATTGTAAATTACTTTTGTATAGGGGATGCCTGAGTGGTTACATCACCATAGTAATGTGAATAGTCAACTCTGTAGTAGAGTTGCTTGCCTTTGTGGAAGAAGGTCAGGTTTTATATGCAATATGGCTGTTAAAATAAGTTTACTCTTTGTAGATATAGCTTGAAATGATTGGAGGAGACTGATTTTTTTTAAACATAATATAATATTCCCATTAAAAATTCCTATTATATTCACAAGAGGTATAATTCTCATTTCTGTAAAAAATTTTGCTGTATGTTTATGTTGCAGAATTATAAGTTTATTTTTTGTGTTGACATTTTGTATAATTTTTGTTCTAGAGATACCAAAAAGTTAAGTGTTCATAGTTTTGTTTTTGTTTTCTTTTGGTCTTTTTCTTTTTACCTAATACATCCCTGATACTAAGAAACTCTCCTTGTGGTTTCAACAATTTTCCAGTTGTATCATAGATCTGCACAATTTGGCAAGAATGAATATATTTTTTCTCATATCCATGCGGGATGAACTCGGTTAGCTCGTAAGCAGTAAGTAGTTGACTTGCTCAATGGAACCAGCTTCATTTTACAATAAAAAATGTAATCTAAGTAAATACTTGTTGATAATATACTTGAATGTATAATAGTTTTTGTTATATCAGCATGCCTATTGGAAATCTTAAAGTAATTATTATTACAGATAACATTGAATATTGTCATGTGTGCCCAAAGGTACATTAGTCTTAAGAATGTGTTACAGACTTGATAAGAGAACAGATTTGCAGTTTGGCATTTGCATGTACCTTGCTCATATACTTGAGTTGGCATTTACCTTACATAAAAATTATCTGACTTCCAGTTCCTATATTGTCTACTCTATTTCAATCTTTACTTCATTAATATTAAAATAGATGTGGGCAAGCAAGAGCTTTCTGGGGTCATCTGTCAAAACCATGTGTGCTATCTGGGATCTTCTTATAGAATAACTTGTCCAGACTTCTCCTTTTACATCGAATTGCACGTGCATGAATATGAGAATATGTTTCATAACCTCTTGTGTTATGAAATATTCCTATGTATATTAGAGAACATTTTCAGTAGTGTGCATTGGCTGTTTTTAAGAATTTTTTGGGAATTAAGATTTCTTTGGGAACACGTATTGAGGAACAAAACACGTTTTATCAGAAATAGTAAATATAGCAGAATATATTATGAAGTCACACAAGATTAATGTAGAATATGTGTCATAGATTTCGTGGTAAATGTGTGAAATTATTTTTACACTAAGTGTTCTGCTGGTCAGAACTGTTTAAACATAGTTCATTAAAGTAATTAAAATCTAAGTTTGCTTAATGTGAGGTGTATATTTTGTTGCTCAGTGTATATGTTGAAGTACTCGTACACTATTGTATGAATGTTATATTTCACCAATTTAGTATGCAATAGCAACATGTAACATCTTGGGACCTGAAATACTATTAGATTTCCTGCAAGTTATTGAAATCAAGAGTGCTTTGTGTGAAAGTTATGGTATGCATGCTACTTCCTTGTTTAGGTGAAATGTTTTGTGCAATATTTGTGTATTTTATAATAAATTTATTTTTATGTATGGATTAACAACGATGAAATATGATGAGATTTATCTTCATCACTTATGCATAGAAGTTCATGCATAGCAATACTTATTTACCAACCTTCATCCTACAAAAGAAACATTGCCTCAAACAATCTTATCAGTGTTCTTCCATTCTATTGTACATTTGCTCTTGATAATGAATCCTTTGCAATATAACAGACTTAATTTTGTTTTCAATAACTAAACAAAATGAAAACATTTTTTTAAAACTGTTTTAATAAATTACATTGTTACGTGTTTGTTAACAGGATGGAATACTGTCACATATTATAAAGAATGTGATGGAATTAATTAAAAAGACTTAAAGGAGATCTTGAATTTAGTTCTCTTTACCTTAAAATAATAAATAATGTTGAGATAGATATCATTAAGGAGCAGGTTTCTATGAATTTGCATTTTTTTCCGTTGTCTCAGAGCATAGCTAACTGATATTTCTTGGCATTAAGTTAGAATTGGATATTATGTAGATTAAAATGTTGGTGTATATTTGGCCTATTTCTCCCACTGGTACATCTTCATGTAAATATAAGAGCTTATTTTGCATATTTCGTGAACATAACAGTCGTATCTGTAAAACACGCAAGTTTTCATAAAATCTATTTATTTGTGAGTGTTCATTCATTAGAAAGAGTTTGAGTTTCTTTTTTCTTTTCTAGAGGTGATAAAATACTCGTACAAATATAGGATATTTCTTGATATATTTTTTAAACCAGACAAAA